CAAAACCGATCAAATGATTTTGAAACCGATCAAAGAAATCGAAACAAGTCACTGCGACACGAAACCGATCAAACGATTTTGAAACCGATCAAAGAAATCGAAACACGTCACTGCAACACGAAACCGACCAAATACAATATTTTGCTACAACAATGCCCCGGCCCAGGGGTGTATTGAAAACTATTTAGTAGTCAAAGAAGTCGGAGATGTGAAATTCGGAAAACGGTCGGTCGATAGACGAGTTGCGGGGGGTCCTGGCGTTTGGAGTTTTCTCGCGCATTATTCTTATTTGCGGCTTTTTGACGTTTGCTTTTAATATCACGCCATTTTGTTTTAAAGGAGAGTTCAAAAAGCATATCACGACCGAAGACTAGTTGAGCGGGTGTCGCTTCCATCACAGTATGGACAGTGGAGCGAATAGCCCAAGCGCAGTTGCTTAAGATTTGGGTCCAAGGATCATTATAATCGAAGTCGAATTCCTCTAATTCGTTTGTACGGAGCATGTTTCCGAGCGTTTGGTGGATTCGTTCTACATAATTAGCTGAGGATTTTTGACTGTTGTAGGGACCGGTTTGATTCCATAACTTTTTAGTAGTTCTTGGAATTCTTCGCCAAGGAATTCTTTACCATTGTCAAAAATTGCATTCTTGAGGTCTTGGATATCGTGAGAACCATACGCGGTCGAGCATCGTTGATGTAGTTAGTGACTTTTTGTTATCAATTTCTACAATTTCGAACCATCCAGTCGCTGGATCACAAATCTTCATGGCATGTAGTCTCATATCTTTGCCTTCTTTTGTAGTTACGGAGTAAGGACCGATATGGTCAACACAAATGGTGTTCCAAGGCTTCTAGGTAAATTCTTTCACTGGCAGTTTGCCGTATTTAAGTTTTGGATTTTTACATAATTGGCATTTGCGGCAATGCTTTACGTGAGTCTCAACGTCTTGTCATAGACCTGGCCAAGTTAGGTGTTGGCGAATGGTTCGTTCAGTTCATGTAACGCCATGTTGCTGTAACATGTCATGATACCACTGTAGAACATGCTGTTGTAGTGGCTTAGGAACATAAATGTTTTTGTGGAATAAGATTATTTCGGTGCCATGCACCTCTTTGGAAAAGTATTCTGGATGGTTTTGTAAATGTCGCATTGGAGTTTTATCTTTCTTTTGATACTCTGCAATTAGACCGGTGTCGAGGGGGAATTGATATTTCTCTGCCTTATAACCTTCCAGCGAGTCCATGTCGAACCTTTCAGCTAGTTGGACTTTGTCGAATTCGTCATATTTTGTCGTGAAGTCTGCGTCCATACGACTTAAGCAATCGGCGATCGCATTGGCAGATCCATCGATATGTCTTATGTCTGGCCCGAATTCTTCAATGATCCATCTCCATCGTTGGATTCTTGGGTCTGTATGATTTTTGTGGTCGGTATATACAATAATTTTGCGACCAAGCAAGATGTTGCGGTATTCCCGTAGTGTTTCAACGATGGACAACATTTTGCGTTCTCCCGTCGTGTAGTTCCTTTGCGCAGGATTTAATTTTCTGCTGTAGAAAGCGATAGGTTTTCCTTCTTGGGAAATCACTCCACCGAGCTGGAAGCCGCTAGCATCAGTGTGTATTGTGAAAGGTTTGGAGAAATCAGGGAATGCAAGCATAGTGGCTTTTGCAATCACTCGTTTCACAGGTTCGAACGCTTCTGTGTGTTCTTGTTTCCATACTAATGGACGTCCTTTTTTGCTTGATTTGATTAGTTCAGTAAATAGAGCTAACATATGTGAGCGCTTTTCCCACATATCACGGTAATAATTGAGCATGCCAAGGAATAAGCGCAATTGTTTCAAAGTTTTTGGGGGTTTCAACCGCTGAATCGCTTCCACTTTGGAAGCAAGAGGGCGAATGCCTTGGCGCGAGACCAAGTAGCCTAAGTATTTAAATTGTTGAGTTGCGAACTCAGATTTGGGTAAATTAACTTTAAGGCCGGCTTTGTGGAGCTGTTGGAGACATAGTTCTAGCCGTTGAAGGTGGTCTTCAAAGTCACCTTTGGTGACACAGAGGACGTTGTCTAAGTACATTAAGACTGTTGGGATATGACGAAATATGAGTTTTTACGTTCCAAACGAAACTATTCAAGTACAAGGTTTTCGACACGTGCGATCGGACTTTGATCGTGCGCGATGTCGGGATTCGACGCAAGTATGCCGGACGCAAGTCTGTCGGACAATCTGTATCCACACAAACAGGAAAA